TGTGCATTTCCTTTAACTGCTTTTAAACATGCCATGTGTCCTCACTGATGTCTTCTGTCCGGGTGACAGCACAAGGATGGGTCAGTGGAGGGCGGTGACAACCCCAAGTGGTTTTCTGCTATTCCAACTTTCCAATCAGAGGAATCACACCACCACCAGCTATAGTCACCTTAAGGAGGGAATCCAACTCTTCATCTCTGCAGATGGCAAGCTGCAAGTGACATGGACTGGTGTGCTTGACTTGGAGATCCTTCAATGCGTTCCCTACCAGCTCCAGTACCTCAGCAGTGAGGTGCTCCAGGATTGCAGCACTGTAGACGGCGGCAGTGGCACCCACTCCTCTGTGGCTCGTAGTGCGTGTCTTCAGATTTCTGTGTTCGAGCTTCTCTGCTCGCCTACAGAGAGCCATCCGCTTCCTGTATCTCTGTGCATGTTTCTGCCTGCACTGGATTTTAAAACTACTCCAGAACTGAATGCAACACATTAAAACACAAGTGTATTCACACTTTCCACAATAATGCTACTAATAACGTTATTGGAGAAGATAATGTTAGTATCACCACACAACCGTCACCACATGAGAAGTACTTCATCACAGCTGGTGTCTAAGAGCAGATCAATGTTTATGTCTACAGCATTGTCTGTGCATTTCCTTTAACTGCTTTTAAACATGCCATGTGTCCTCACTGATGTCTTCTGTCCGGGTGACAGCACAAGAATGGATCAGTGGAGGGCGGGTTCCCATGCAGAACCATGATGTTCCCATGGAGAAGATGTGATCCATAAAAGAAAACGGAAGAGATCAGCTGAATTCAGTGATGTTCTTACCCTCATGGAGCTCATTCACGCGCAGTTCTTGGTTGAAATCACGTTTGCAGAGTTGCAGCGTTGGCCTGCCTCTGTCTTACTTTTCTCTTGTTGCTGGCACAAAACAGCCAGCACCCAAAGTTAGGGAAGGAAAGGTTGATGCAGCTCACAGTGTGCAGAGACTTAGTCGGGAATCAGCTGGATCCAAGGCCGGGCAGCCCAGCCCAGGGGAACAGCTTACAAAGGCTGAAGTAAGCAAGGAAGAGTACTAAGAGCGCAAAGCTGGGCAACTAGCCTCTTTGGACCCGTCCATTGTGAGCACCCTCTCCTTCCTTGGCTGGGTGTAGCAGCCACACCACCTCCTTGCCCTCCTCCTGCACAGGCTCAAGATGTTTACAGAGGGGACACTGGACCCTGCTAGGTCCCATAGAAAGTTAAATTTCCAAACTTCTCAACTTGACACAGTGTATCAAGAATTACAGCCCCTGAGTTAGTGATGGGCCATGGTTCTCTTCAGGGTCACATAGAACCTAAAGTCAGATGCTTAGTCAAAAAAAAAAAAAAATGGACTCATTTCAGGTATCAGGTATATTTAAGATGCGTCATAAATTTTTTTTGTTTGTTTTTGGAGAACTTGTCTCCAAAACTACACAGTTCAGGCAGGCCTTGGACTATGTAACACAGGATGGTTCCAACTCATCTACCTATCTCAGCCTTGTAAGTGCTGAAATTATTGGTGTTGGCCATCATATTTTTTTTTTAGATTTTTTTTAACTTTGTTTGGTTCTTTTGTTTGTGCAGGGTCTTACTACACAGCTCAGACTCAGTGATACTGCTATTTTCTGCCTCCCTAGCGCTAGGATTACAGGCATGCGCTACCATGTCCACACTCCATCACTAGCTCAGTACGCCCAGGGCCAGGGCCAGTGCTGCATGTGGTGCCAGGGATTGAACCCTAGCCCTCGAGCTTACCTAAGCAATCACTTAGTCTGCTGAGCTATTTAGCCAGCTTGACACCACATTTTAAGGAGTTAGCTTGATGAGGTTTTACAGGAGCCTGCTACCTCACTTAGATTGTTTCATTCTATTCTCTGTCATACCAAAAAGGCCCACCATGTCCCATTATGTTACAGCTATATCAGGGAACCGATTACATTAAACGTACCATAGAGGAGTTGTCAATGTTCTAGGACTTCAAACATTTTAATCTGTGCATTCAGGGCTCTGTTTGGTCTAGTTTCTTTCTCTACTCATAATACACTTGAGATTCGTCAGTGCTCTTGCACCAATCAGAAGGATACCATGTCATTACTAAGGATCATCTCGCTGAATAAATACATTTTGTTAAACACTCACCCATCAAAGACCACTTCTTTCCTTCCAGTTTGTGGAAGAAAATTAAGACGAGTGCCTAGGAACACGGATGAGACTATGCACACAATCACCTAGGCTAGAATAGCTGATTCATAACCTGGACAAGGTCAACACGGATGTGGATGTTTTTATTTTCCTGAAAGCTGAGCTTGACTCCAACAACAGCTGAACTTAACATTCCCTCAGTTATTACCGAAATTCCATGCAACTCACAAACTCTCAACATTCCTGGAAAAATCTACATCCTCCTAAATTTTAGTACCATTTCAGGTTTCATCTTTGTGACATGCTGGATCTACATCTCATATGAGTAAGAGACAAGTCATATCTGTCATAAAATTATGCAAAGCCTACTTATTCTTCCCCTACATACTACCCTACTCTTCATAAGTGCATTTGTAACTACAAGGTAAGCACTGCCTCACATCAGTTTGACAATAGAGTCCTAACAGTACCAAATTGCATCAGTTCCACTCATTCTTGCCCCATATAGACTTCCACTTACATATGGAGCCATTTCAGGCCAGGTGTACACCACTTTAATGAGTAGCCCCTATGTTCCCCTTTCCTCAATGCCACCTCACAGTCACCAGCTCCCTGACCCACAGCATTGTTGTGTAATAGTCCAGCCCTGCCCTTCCATTGGCCAAGCCTACAGCTCACTGTGCTCTCCCCAGTTAGGCCAGCAAAGAGCTCCTGTTTGGGGGGCAGTCTTGCCTGCCTCCTGCTTGACCACACTGCATGGGCCCAAGCTCCCTTACTCATGGGGGCTTCCGGGGCCCAGAACCTCCTGCCAGGTGCTCTGTGCCTGTCTGCGATCTGGGCAGTGCTGTCCCCCATCTGCTGTTCCCAAGACCCACCAAGGTGGCGCTTCACCTCCTCAGAAGTTGTTATCCCCAGGAAGGTGCCCCACAGAATGGATGGAAGCAAGACGCCAGACCAGCTCTCCTACAGCATGCGCTTCCGAGGCCGGAGGCACGTGATCCACATGAAGCTCAAGAAGAACTTGCTGCCAGAACACTTCCCTGTTCTTACCAACAATGACCAAGGGGCCATGCAGGAGGACTACCCCTTTGTCCCTCGAGACTGTTACTACTACAGCTACCTGGAGGGGGTTTCTGGCTCCGCAGCCACGCTGGACACCTGCTCTGGAGGTCTGCGCGGCATGCTGCAGGTGGATGACTTTACTTATGAAATCAAGCCACTAAAATCTTCTTCCAAATTTGAGCATATAGTTTCTCAGCTTGTGTCACAAGCTGTATCAGAAGATGAAAGATGTAATATTCCGGAGGATGAGGCAAATCAAATTCTCAAAGAGGTAAAACTTGCAGAAAGTCCAAGAGCTGCCCCTGCTTATTTGTGGCGGGTACATCGAAAACGGGCACATCTTCACTACACAGTAAGTAACTCACTCTGGCTTCTGCAGAGAAATCGCACTCGTGTTATAGAGAATGTCGTGATTATGAACAACATCATACATAGCATTTATAGACCACTGGGCTTAAATATACTCATACGTGTTTTGTGCATATGGGAAGACAGGGATCAAGTGGTCTTAGACAACGGTGAATTCACGTTCCCTTCTGTCGTGATGAGGAGGTTTGGTATGTGGAAACTAAGAAATTGGTACACTAGCATTCCTCATTCTACTTCACTACTTCTTACAGGACATAAAATGGGAAGCAGCATTTATAGTGGTAACTCAGACACTATATGCAACCCCAATTGGGGAGTAGCATTTGTGTGTGTGTCGCGGTATCACCTATTTCTGGCTTCAACAATAGGAGCTCATGCAATAGGTCATAACTTAGGACTGGTGCACGACACTGAAGGTTGTGTCTGCTTTCGAAGAAGTGCTTGTCTTATGACTCCTATGCCTGGTCTCTATGATATGGCCAGCAATTGTTCTTTTGAAAACGTCCACAAAAGGCTTTTTAATTGGGACCCTTGCTTGAGTTTGCATTTTCCTCCGTACGATAATTTTCCTTATGTAGCTCCTCGTTGTGGAGACAAGATAACAAATAATGATGAGGAGTGTGACTGCGGGTCTTTGAAAGAATGTGCCTCAAATACGTGCTGTGGAACCAATTGTATTTTCACACTTGGCAGTGTGTGTGATGGAGAGAGTTGCTGCCAGGACTGTAAGTATGCGGAACCTGGAACTATGTGCAGAAACACACTTGGTATTTGTGATCTGCCAGAATACTGTAGTGGGAAAAATGAAATATGCCCCAATGACTTCTATATCCAAGATGGAACCCCATGTTCACCAGTAGCTGTTTGTATGAGAGGAAACTGCAGTGACCGTGATTTGCAATGTCAAGCTCTCTTTGGATTCCAAGTAAAAGATGCTCCTCCACCATGCTATGAAAAATTGAATATAATTGGTGACCGCTTTGGAAACTGTGGACTTAGGGAGCTGAGACCAGGAACTATACCTAGTAAATGTGAAATTGATGATGTTCTTTGTGGAATATTGCATTGTAGCCGTCCTGAAGAAGTTCCGGGAGGAGGTGAACACACTACATTTCATGATATAATAGTACAGGGAGCTAAACAGATACACTGCTTTGGATATGATGTACACCATGGGACGGAGTTACCAGAAATGGGACTTGTAGTAGATGGTGCAACCTGTGGCCCAGGAAAATTCTGTCATCGACAGAATTGCACTTTTCATCAAGATATGGGTTTTGACTGTGATGTGCAGACATGCAACTACAGAGGAGTGTGCAATAATCTAAAACATTGCCACTGTATACGTGGCTTCAAACCACCAGGCTGTGCAGAGAAAGGCCCCGGTGGCAGTGTGGATAGTGGTTCTCCACCTGACAAAGAAGAAGCTGTTCAAGCCAAAGTACTTGCCATTCCAAACTATGTATTAGTTTTCCTTACTGTTCGTTTTGGTCTTTTTATGGCTTCAATTCTTATTGGTGGACTTACAAAAGCAAAAAGAGCTATAGACAAGAGAGTATACCATGATGAATATGAAGTTGAACCTTAGTAAAGCAAGATTCACATGAGCTGCAGTAAACAATATCATAGTGGCCCTTACTGGAAGAAATGATTGACGATTCCTCACAAATGCTGATGTTGTCTTGAAATAAAATCATAAAGAAATAAAAAAATGCTTGTGTTTAGAATTATTACTGTTTTAAATGAAGTCAGCGATCATATTTCAAGCTTGAGTAGGCCAAGCAAGTATTTTCAGAAATTATCTAAAGAATGAAATTGTTGTTACTTTACACAGTGTGATCTGCTTGTTAGATATTACAAACAGTATTTGGTAGTTCAGGTTGTGGGTAATGAACCAAAAAGGGCAGCAGGGCAGGGCAGCATTAAGGCCCTACAGGAGTGTTGCTTAAAGTGCTATTTAATTATTACCAGAGGTTTGAGATGGCTCAGCACATCCTGCTTGGTACAAGTGCATTTAATCATCACTGGCACACAGACCTTCTAGTGAGCCCTGACAGTATCCTTTTCCTGTTCCTGGAGCTTTGTCATAGGCAGTGGGAGCTGCAGTTGCACGTGAAGTGGTTCCAGGTCACTAGCAGTGTGGGCAGGATAAGGCACAGGAATGCCAAAAGAAGGTAGGATTGTCTTTTTTTTTGGCCGGAACTGGGGATTGAATTCAGACCCTTGCACTTGCCAGGGAAGCACAAGAAGGTAGAGATAGGAAAGAAGAGATGTTGGAAAGCAGAGGAATAAGAAAAAGGAAGACACAAGCCAACACAAATGAGCAGTTCTTTATACTCTTGAGTGAAATAAATTGGACCCATATGTGTTAACATCATATAGTCTCCTTAATATAAGAACCTGAAGGAGAAAAATGTAATCTGGACTACAATCCATACTGGGAAAAGGGAGTGAACTCATTTAAAAGAAAGAGTTACTGAATTGAAGACAAGGACAGCAGAGGGAGTGGGGGAAAGAGATTTATTCATGTACATAAGCAGGATGGTTTGGAAAAGTACTCTGTGCATTTCTGCTGCTCCATGGAAAGGAGCAGTTAATGCTTTAAATAGTTCATCTCCTTTTCTCATTTGTTTATACTTTTTCTCTTCATTATTCCTTATACATTTCTTTCTTCTTCCAAATTTACATGCATATATCTGGTAATATGAATAAATGGTTGGAAGACAACACTATGTGTTACAACAAATACAGTGAAATTCATATGACTTTGTTACGTGAAATGCTGTATCACTTGTAATTCTTTGTTTTAATTCTAATTAGTACTATCTTTAAAAAATAAAAAAAATGAGCAGTCCCTGAAGAAGAGAAAAATATTAAGTTAAAAAAACCCAAAAAAAACAAAACAAAAAAAAACCTCTCCAAAATATGGAGGCTGTCAAAAGGATTTCTTTGGTTGACTTTCTGAAATCAAACAAAATGTGCTGCCCATGGTGTCACCTTGCTTTTGCCTGAGTAAGAAATCACAGAAATGATCAAGTTTGATATGCTCCAATTAATCGAAGAGCCTCTGCACTTCCAGACTGTGCTTTCAGAACTCATATGATACTAAGAGCAAATAAAATGATAATTCTGCACCAGACAGTATGTGTACAGAGACTCCGGCCAGGTGACTGTCTGGATTAGGTATTTACATAGGGAAAGACATAGTTGTATAACAACCTACATTCTTGGATTATCTGAAGAAATCAGAAGGAAAAGAGTGAGTTGGGTCAGAAAAATAGACAACCTCAAAACGAAAGTCTGCTACCTCCACACTGTGCTAAAAAATGAGGAAATATGCAAAGTAGCACGTGGTTTTATGTAATTGTAGCTTTCTCTGTATATGACATGAATTAATGCTACACATAACTACATGAGCTCTGGTGGCCAATAAATGTGACAATTTAAATGATTATAGAATACAGGCCAAAAAAAAAAAGCAGAGATTTCTTAACTTTGAAATAAACATTTAAAATTAAAAACAAAAACAAAACCGAACCAGGATCTAGGAGGGCTCTCATCTACTCTCAAGTAATTAAGGCTGTATGATGCATAAGATTCTTCACCCAAAAC